GACTCAGCTTCCAGTTCCTGGGCCCCCGCCCCCGCCATGGCACTGACTCAGATTCAGGGTGAGCCTGTATCTGGCCGTGGACTATGACAATAAGACAAATCTGCTCTGCGGCCAAGCTCAACTTCTGCAAATGATGCACATGGGCAGTCACATGGCTAGGCTGTGGGGAGATGGCACATGCCAACAGGAAGAGCCTCTGACTGGAGGTCAAAGGGCCAAGGCTTTGCCCCCACAGAGGGGAAGGAACCAGGGTGGACACACTTTGCTTTGCTGAAACACAATCATTGGTCCTGCTGCATGACATTCAAAGCTCACACCAGAACAGGTCCAATGCCACAAAGGCCAAGGCCACGGGATCACATGTTGAACACAACTTGTCCAGCCTAATCGGTGACCCTCTGGTCTGAACTACGAAGCATTTTACCTGATATTAACTGTTCTCATCTGAAAAAAAAAAAAACAAAAATTCATCATTTTCCTCCCAAAGTAAGGGACAGCTGAGCATAACTATAGCCACTAGTAAAATTCTCAGAATCAGCCCGTCAATCCCAAGCCCTGAGATCAACCATTTCTGTTGATCTCTGTCGTGTTCTTTCAGTCATTGTCAGTAATTTTTTTCCCCCCTAAAACATAGAAGCCTATATATTCAGTAAGTATTTGAGCTGATGTGTCTGGGCAAATGCCATTCTGACGACCCACCCCCAAGGATGCCTTCCTTCGCCAACCCGCATTTCCCGGTGTGCCCTGTTCACAAGGGAGCCATTCAGAGCCAGGGAACACCCACTTGAGGCAGGAAGAAACTGCAGTTCATCTCACGCAGGCGGGGTGGCCGCAAAGCTCTCAAGCATCCAAAGAAATGCTCCTTTCATGAGCTCCCCTTCCTGGCCAAAAAGAGTGGCCATTGTTCTGCGGGGAACAATTGGGGGCCGATGCCAGCAGCTGAGAGCACAGTCCCAGGAAGGGCTGCTCCCAGTCTGCCGACATCTTGGGCTGGGAGAAATTCCACATTGTCTCCAGACAAGGAGGCTGAAGGGAAGCAGCGATGAAAAGCCATCCTTGAGGGCACTACCAAAATGAGACATCTGAGGGGGGCCGCAGAGGGGCAGCCCAATCGTTCTGTGAGAATCAAAGACTTCTGACCGCCAAGGTCTTGTCATGTAATCACCTTCCTCAGCCAGTCCTGCTTGCGTGCATGCTCAGTCACTTCAGTCGTGTCCGACTCTCTGCAACCCCACGGACTCTAGCCTGCCAGGGTCTTCTATCCATGGAATTCTCCAGGCCAGAATACTGGAGTGGGTTGCCATGCCCTCCTCCAATGGATCTTCCCGACCCAGGATCTGAACCCACGTCTCGTGTCTCTTGCATTTGGCAGGCAGGTTCTTTACCACTAGCGCCACCTGGGAAACCCTCAGCCATTCGTACACTCACTCAAGTCAGAGGACAGGCGCCCTTAGGGAGCCGGCACCAATCCTGAGGGAAGTCAGGAGGTTCACTTACACTATGGCCTACTTGGAACAGCTTCGGATCTGCTCAGCGAAGGCAAAGCTGGCTTCTGTGGGACCTCTCCCCACAGGACCTGAGAAATCTGCCTGCGTCGGGGTGGAGGAAAAGGGCTCCAATGCTGAAATTGAGCCTGAAAGAGGCGGCTGTACCCATGCTGACAGAACAGAAAAAGAGCCAGCGGCCTGCGGTGGGTCCTGAGCTTGGCGTATCTGTGGGGCAGAAAGGGGCCGCTGTGCTGAGACATGGCACGCACAAGGCAAGGGGAGAGGGGAGGCCAGAAGCCAGATCAAACAGGGCTTAATCCTAAGTGCAGGGGGTGGGGAGGCCTGTTCTGAGCCGATTCTAGCTTTACAAAGATGTCTCTTGCCTCCGTATGGAGAACAGACTGAGGGGTTAAGAACGGAGGCAGGGCACCTCGGAAGAGGTGAGCGAGTGCTACTTTGGCTGATAGTCATGTTGATGGACATGACTTGGAGGTCACCCCAACAAGGCTCCCTGGAACCAAGACCTGAAATGTTCCTCACATACCCAAGAATATCAGGCAGCCATTAAAAGTTACACTCCCAAAGAATACTTAAATGACAAAGGAGAAAAACTCAAAAGTACAGTGAATGAAAAAAAGGTTAAAAAGTATGATTTCAGGTCTGTCTAAAATGTCTGTGTGCCTATGTGACATGGATACTTGTTGATGAATGCAGAAGATGATGTACGAGTACGTTATTGGTAGGAACCACCAAAGTTTTTTTTCCTCCCTTTCCTATAGATTTATACATTGTTATTTTAATGGTGTGAAAAAAACTCCTTTACTGTAAAGACTTTTCAATCCTGTTTTACACATAGGGAAACCAAAACTCCAAGAATGAAGTCAAGCTTTCTGGGTTTTTTTAAGATTTTTTTTAGACCACTTTTAAAGTCTTCATTGAATTTGTTACAATATTGCTTCTGTTTTCTGTTTTGGTTTTCTGGTGGCAAGGCATGTGGGAACTTAGCTCCCCAACCAGGGATTGAATCCACACCCCCTGCACTGGAAGGTGAAGTCTTAACCACTGGACCACCAAGGAAGTCCCTGAAGTCAGGCTTTCTGATCTGATTCCCACCCCACACACCCTGATGTTAAGACTGTTTGGGACGAAGAGTCACACACTTTCATCTGTTTTTCTACAGGTTAATCAGCTACTAAATGGTCTGCTTTCCACAGATAAATACGCTCAGATAAAATCCTGTTTTCCTAATAAAATATCTTTGCTCCCCTGGTGAGTAAGCCTGTTAAACCTCTCTCTGCCAGCTACAGCAAATAGCCAGCTCACTGTATCAACTCAAGGCAACTCTGGTCAAGACTAATCCATGTACAACATTCCAGTGGCCAAAAGAACAAGGGTAATCGATCACTACAGGGCTTGGATATTCCAAAGATGAAATGTGATGCTGGGTAAGAAATGTACTTCCAAAAATGCTATTCTTCATCTAATAGTGAGACTAGAATCTGGCTTACTGGGCTATTATGAAGATTGCATGGAAATCTTTTGCAGAGACTCAACAAGCCAGAAGGAGCTCGATGGAAGTGAGCTAGGATCTTCAGAAGTATGTCCACCTCTGAGAACACAAGGCCAACCTAGGAGCAAGCTGTGACCTAAAGAGAGGGGGCCAAAAGGGAAAGGAAGAGAGCACAAGAAGGGCCAGGTGAGGAGTGAACCTGCCCAGACTCAAGGGGCAGACACACTTCTCAGTGGGAAGAGTGGTACGGAATTTGCGACCATTTCTAATCTAGATGCCTGGGGTTTGTGGATGAGAGGGGGGCAAGCTGGTGAAGACTCATTAGAGCCCCGCTCTGCTTTGACCAACGGAGTACAAAGGAAGTTCCAAGCCCAGGCCTTAAAAGATGGGCAGCTTTCACTTCCTGTATCTTGGAATACTCCATCTTCCAAGGAATACCTGTACACAGGTACAACCCAGCTACTGTCCCTGTGAGGAACTCCAAGCACTGTGGAAAGGTCTACATGGTGAGAAAACGAAGACTTTGATAGGCAGCCCCAGCTAAGCTCCTCGTCAACAGGCAGCACCACCTTGCCAGCCATGAGTGAGCCATGTTGGAAATGGATCCTCCAGGCCCAGGTGAGCCACTCTAATTAGTGTGGCAGAGATGAGATCCCCAGATGAGATCTAAAGCCCTGAATTCTTGGCCACGAAATTGGCTGTTTCAAACCACTATTTTTGATGCTTTAAATATACCTATAAATCTCCAGAACACTATGTATAAAGTAGAAGTCTAAGTACAAAACCGATATAAAAACTACCATAATGAAATATAGATCTTGTAATTTTTTTTTTTTAGATCTTGGAATATTTTTAATTCATATTTAAGTCATGTCTCTGAGGAAAGCATGCTATAAGGCAAGGGTCAGAAAACTATGGCCATGAGTCAAATCTGGGCTGCCATCTGTTTTTGTACAGCCCATGAGCTAGACATATTTTTTGCCATTTTTAAACAATTGGTGGGGGGATCAAAAGATACAGCATTATTTGACATGTGAAAATTATATGAAAGCATAATTTCAGTTTCAGGGAAGTTTTTAAAAGTACAGTTTTACTGGAACACAGCTACGCGCATTCATGTGCAGTGTCTGTGACTACTTTCATACTGCACTGGCCAAGTTGAGGAGTTGCAACAGAAACTGTACAGCCAGCAAAGCCAAAAAAACACTATCTGACTTTTTAAAAAGTAAGTGTGCTGACCTCCGCTCTAGGAGATGCTCATAGCCTGAGGGGTATACCCCACCCACCCACACAGCCACCTTGCAAACTCACTCAGGAGCTAGGGGAAATTCCATAACCCTAAAGGGATGGTCCTTCTTCACACAGAAGCTTCCTGTTGCACCAAATTTCCATCTTCATTGGCCATCACTCTTCTGTTACATAGATCTCAGGTTCCCTTGTTCTCTGGGTTGCTTGAGAACAAAGGAGATGAGGCGAGGCTGAAATGTATGTTCTAATTTTGGGTCTTAAGGAACCGAATATATTAGTAAACATACAACACCCAAGCACAGCAAAACTCTTGATATTTACTTATACCTTATATTTAAAAAAATATTTTCAAAGCATTTAAAAGTTCCATATTTCTTGGGTTTAATTCCATGGTTAATGAAAGGAGACTGCTTCCTTATACACAAGCCCTTCCACCAAATCCCTAACTTGATGACCAAAAAAATCTTCCAGAGAACAGATGTAAAAGCTTTTTAATAGTGACACTCTCAAAACGGGAGCAAGAATAAAGGTTGTGGATGCTACTCTGAGGAACATGGGGACCCTCTAGTGAATGTCAGCAGCTGTCCCTCTCTTAAGGAAGGAACACTTAACAGGGCCTGAAAGAACTGAGCTCAGAATTGCCAGACAATTGAAAAACTAAACTTCAACTAAAATAACCTAAAACTAACACTAAAATCAAAACTGAACTCCAAGATGAGAATTCTTCCTCAGTTACAGCTTCTATCCAGTCTCACCTTGATGACTTCTCCATTGGAGGCAATTAAATCTGTTGGAATGGTCACTCGAAATGAGCGTCCAACGACAGCCGTGCCATCAGGAATGCCAACCACCGTGGGAACAGCCTCGTGGAGGTCTGAGAGTACGGAGTGCATGGACGCCTCGAGCTGGTTCTCCCAGTCCCTGACGGCCTCCGAAGGTTCACTGGGCCAGTGGGACTGAGTCACAGCCACGGACACCAGAAGTAGAAAGGTCCTCCCCCAGAGGGGAGGCAACAGCGACGGGCCCACAGACATCCTCATCCCAGGCTCAAGTCTGCTCAGGCAGATAAGTCTCTCCAAGAAGGGAAACAAGCGACGTGGTCCCAGAACTGGGTCCTCACCCTCTGCACGCCTGCTCCATCCCAGAGCACCCAGAGCCTGAAAAAGAAGAGGAGGAGACTCAGACTTCAGCAACTTTCATGGTTTCCAAGTTGAGCACAGGCCGTTAATACCCTCTAAGTGTTCCTACCCAAAATATCTACCCTGAGTTGGATTAAGTCTCCCCCCGCATGGCCCAGGGTGAGAGCCACCAGCTACACGTGGCTCCTGAACACTGGAAACGTGGCTGGTCCATTGAGTATAAAACACACAGCAGATTCTGAAAACTAAGTATAAAAAAGGAATGTAAAATATCTCACTAATACCTTAAAAATATTGATTACACATTGAAATATTCTGGATATAAAAATATCTAATATAGTTAAGTAACTATTAATAAATAGTACATAATAAAAATATTAAATACATGATTAAAATTAACTCCACCTGCTTATTTTTATTTTTTTCCATATGGCTACCAGAAAATATTAAATGACACAGTGGATCACATCATCATATTTTTGTTGGGTAGTACTGCTCTATACCTAACTTCCAATTTATAGGAAACACGAGGCCATGAAGACACAATCAGACAAATCTGGAAGGTGTGACAGGACCTTCTACAAGATAACTGATCTGGTCTTTCCAAATGCTGACACCTCTAAATATAAGGGAACTATTCTAGATTTAAAGACTGCAACCAGATGCAGTGTGTACATCTTGACTGGATCCTGGACTTACTTCGTTTTTATTTTTTATTGAAGTACAGTTAAATTACAGTGTTAACTACTGTTGCACAGCAAAGTGACTCCATTATACGTGTATGTACATTCTTTTTCATATTCTTCTCCATTATGGTTTACCACAAGATACTGAATACCATTCCCTGTGCTATTCAGTAGGGCCTTGTTTATCCATTCTATACATACCAGTTTGCATGTGCTAATTCCAAACTCCCAATCCAACCCTCTGCCAGGTTACCTGCTGCCAGCCTGGTAACCACCACATCTTCTGTGTCCCTGATTCTATTTCTGGTTCACAGATAGGTTCATTTGTGTTTGAGTTACTTTTTTTTTTTTTTGGAGTAACTTTTAAAAAAAAACAAGAAACACACACAAGACCAGCTCCCAAAGGGATAACTGACCAATTCTGTATGTGGGCTGGAGAGTAAATTTATTGTTAATTTTCTTAGGTGTAATGATGGCAGTGTGACTTGATAACATCATCCTCAATTCTGAAGTATTTAGAGATGAAGTGTTAAAAATCTCTGCAACTCATTTTGAAATGGTCCACTGGGGAAAAAAACATGTGCATGTATACAAAGAGATAAGACAATATGGCAAATACCACATATACTTTTGGAAAAACTGAAATACCAAGTATTTGCACAGAGGAGTGTGGCCAACTGCCCACTTCTTACACCCCCAATACTGCCTTATTTGCACTCAGTGCTACTGAACAAAATTGACTTGAACTCTCTTACCCCCCACCCCTAATAGTGCCTAAAACCCTACACATCGTCTCCTGTCCGCCATACCAGCTTCAAGCAGTTCATGACCTCACTGTGGGGCTTTCTGGGTGCCCACAGATGTCCACAACCATCACAAGCAATTTCCCATTCTGAAAATGGAAGAAGCCCTGCCCTGAGCCAAGCTGTCTTGGGGCCACGTGATACTTTCTGACGTGGGTAATGAAAAGTAAATAAAAACGCTGAAGAAAACAAGGTCACTGAAACAGCCAGCATACTCTAAAGTCAGTGTAAGTCCAAGCCAAAGCCAAGAGGATTTTTTCAATGTTGATTTTGCTATTCCTGTTCTTATTTTTTGAACTAAAATTCATGAGACAAAAGCCAAGAAAGTATAACAATCCTGAGGGTTGGAAGTCCTATCCTACCAAACTAAGACTTATCACAAAGCTACCGTATCAGGTGTGGCAGAGGAGACAGCGGACTGCGGAACCAGTGAAAGTGGAAGCTGCTCAGTTGTGTCTGACTCTTTGCAAACTCACTGACTATAGAATCCATGGAATTCTCCAGGCCAGAATACTGGAGTGGGCAGCCTTTCCCTTCTCCAGGGGATCTTCCCAACCCAGGGATCAAACCCAGGTCTCCTGCATTGCAGGTGGATTCTTTACCAGCTGATATGCAAGGGAAGCAGAGGGAGAGCCAAAACCAGCTCGCCAAGAGATTCAAAGGCGCCAGGACAAGTGGCCATCTATGTAGGAAAAAAGTCAGGTTCTTCTGTCATTTCTCCATCGAAAACAAAACAAATCCCAGGTGGGTTAGATACACAGATGTAAAAAACTCTGAAATTTTTAGAATATAGTAGAATATCAGCATAAGGAAGGATTTCATTTTTAAAAGATATCCAAAAACACAAAACTTAAAAGAAAAAGACAAACTGGACTTTCACTTCTAAGAAGATGAAGGAGGTGTATTTCTCCTTAGTTTCCCACTAAATACAAGGTGAAATTCTAGACACTATATATATAAAAATAAATGAGACTTTTTTTAAGATGAGACTCTTAAAAAAAGTCAAGAGAAGGCAGAGCAGCTAGGGACCCCAGGATTCAAGCAATGATAAAAGTAGTGAGCTCCCTGCGTCTTCTTTTTGACTCATATATCCCAGAATTGGGAGCTGAAGAAGCTGGCAACCCAGAAATGCCAACAGATGAGGCAAAAAACATCCTAACAAAAGTCTGTTCTCTCTAGCCAAAGGAGCAGGAAGGGGGTAGGCTAGCAAGACAGAAAACATTTAGACAATAACAGCTCTATTCGAGCCAAACACCACAGAAAAAAACTGTGGCCCTACTCCTACCCATGCTGGCAAAGGCCAAGTGGGGAGCCTAGACTTCCACCCTCAGGAGGCTGTAATAAGACGCCCTAATATCTCCACTGGGGAGGGCACTGGGACTTTCATCCCCACTGGCCAGAAACAATGCACCACCGTCTTCCTCCAGCCTCATGGTATCAGTGGAGACTACTTGGGAACCTAGACTTCTGTATATTCCCACCCAAGTAATAAGCAGCAGCCTCTCCCCTTCCCTGCTGGATGGTGTCAGGGGAAGACTTTATTAAGTCAGAACTTTATAATCACTGCTCAGCAGTGGCGAGGCCTACAGAACTAGAACTCGAGATCTTTGCATCAGTGTTCAGGCTTTTCTCTAGTTGTGGCAAGCAGGCCCCAGGGTGCGTGGGCTTAGCAACTGCATTTCAAGGGCTTAGGTGCCCCATGGCCTGAGGGATCTTATTTCCCAGACCAGGGATCAAACCCAAGTTCCCTGCATCGGAAGGTGTATTCTTTTTTTGTTTTTTGTCTTTTTTTTTCGGAAGGTGTATTCTTAACCACTGGATCACCAGGGAAGTTCCCATTCATGTAACATTCTTGAAGTGACAAAATTTTTTAGAGAACAGATTAGTGGTTGCCAGGAGTTAAAGAGGGAGTTAGGACAGGAAGGAAGGAGACGTGGATCTGAATGGTGATGAAAAGGTTCTGTATTTTGACTGTATAAACATCAATATCCCACTTGTAATACTGTAATATTATTTAAGATGTTATCATGGGGGGAAATATGTATGGGTAAAGGGCATAGAGGATCTCTCAGTATTATTTTTAACAACTGCATATGAATCTACAATTATTTCAAAAAAAAAAATGTTTTAACCTGCCCCCTAAAAAAAGAAATCGGAATTAGAATTTTAAATTTCTGTACAATAAAAGGATACCATAAAGAAAGTAAAGAGGACCAACCACAGCCTGGCAGAGAGCTTTTTCAGGGCATACAGTAGCTGAAGGAGTCCTATCAAAATATATCAGGTGCCCTAAAACAATAAAAATGGATTGAGGAGATAACAAGTACTTTACAGAAAACCTGAATAGCAACAAACATACAAAAAGATGCTCAACCTCACTAGTCATCAAGGAAAAGGAAGTTAAAGCAACATGAAAAGCATGTCTGCCCACCAGACTTGCCAGCAGTATTAAATGCCATACTTCTCAAGGGAGACACCAAATAACCATGGATTTAGAAGCTGAGGTCCTACAGGCATCAGTGCCAAGAACGACTTAACTCCCAGTGAGGTCCTCTACCAGGAAAGGCAAGGTAGGAGACACCCAAGCTCTCCAACAGCCAGTGTTTACTGCACCCTGGGTGGAGGTCTTCTCCTGAGACCCTTTATAAACTGCCCCAAATTGAAAGAATTTCTTGAAGCTCTTTTCTGTGTTTTTGTTTATTTTTAAATATCTCCCAGTTTCTTAACTGTCTGTGCTTCTGTACCCCTTTTACAGTTTATCACTTAATTGTTTTAATTTTCTGGGTCTTCTGTTTTATACTATCTTAAATCGTAACTTTAGGGTTTCTTTTACTGTCCCATAGAGCTTTCTCCAGTGGCCTTTTCCTTTCTTATACACAGTAATTACTATTTAGTAAATGGTGCAGCTTAATCAACACCCCCACAAGACTGTAAGCTATAGAAGTCAAGGGCAGGAACGCATCCGTTGCAATCACTGATGTATGCGAAGCACACACCTAATACATGAATGGAGAGGATACAAGAGGTGTTTTTTGTTTTTTTAAATCTTGTTCCCAGGTCTTCACTCTTCTGTGCACTTACTTTTCTATTTATTAGATCCAGACAACCTTTTACTTTTCCGATCAGATTCTCCATTTAAACATTCTCAGCTTATGTGAAAACAAGCCGACAGTATAAGACACACCCTTTCCTAGCAGGAACATAAGCTCAGTCTGCTATCTGTGGACATATGACGATACAGGGTATCTGGTTCATGAGCATGACTAAGTGTTCTGCATTTAGCAAGCGGGCAGTGACCAGGGCACAGCTCCAACTGCTGCTATGTGTTGGTTTTCCATGTTCTAGGGAACATGTTCTGTTCAAGAAAAGGTCTTCTTAAAAATCGGCCTTGTATAGTTCTGACACT